GCGGTTTTGCTGCATTTGTATTACTCTCACATGGAAAATCTTGTCCCGAATGCTATTCTGTTGTGAACCCTTATTGCAACGTCTTTTATAAATAGACAAGGGGGAAAAACAGACGTTTTCAATATAATTCAAAATCATTATTACAAAAAATTAAGTGTCAGATTCAATTTTTTTATACCATAAAATACTCTTGACACAGACGCCAATCATATTTGGTTCAAGAACTACAAGTCATTTGATTCAAATAAAAGCCAGCGCAAAGTGATTTTAATGATGAATATCGTTACATCTGGTTTTATGTGGCAAATAAAACCGGATGTAACGCAGGCTATTCCTGGCCAGACCGTAAAAATCAGCAACCCGATCATTTGAATGAGTTTCGTAAAATCAAAGGCCTTTTAGCAGCTAAGACGACAGATTCAGGATGCATTTCAGATAATAAGTAAAACTTTATTTACTATCGACTTGCATAGGTTGGATAAATTAAGTGACATCTCGAACTTATAGGTCATAATTTCAGTGATCTAGCACCCTAGCACTCACTGTCGAGAACTCTTTAGACCACAATCTTTGTCAAGAGACGATCGAGAAATAACCGAATAATGATAAAACTGAAACAGAAAATATGAACTCGAGGTTAATACTTCTTTGAATTAGTGCTCTGAATAATAAAAACAGCAAGAAAAATCAAAWTAACACAACAAAACTCGACTCACCTCAAGAACACAAGCTAATGTAAACACAAGGGAGAAAGAACATCCGGGACTGTTCACCCTTTTATAGTGGCGCAAAGGAAGACGGTTAAATGAAAATCGAGAAATTTTGCCCTTCTCCAGATTAGAGTTGCTGCCTATGCTTCGCTTGCTCAGGCTCACTACGCTGCGGCAGCAATCAAAACACGATTCACTGAAGTTCTACTCGAGTTGACAATATAAATGGGTCCAAATTTTTGAGCATCGTTTTCCGATGTAAACATACTGTGACGTCATAATGAAATAGGGCAATTGAAGGACCGGCAGCGAAAACGGCCAAAGTGACTTTTTAGGGTATTTTTGAAATTTCCAATAAATTGAAAAAAAAATCACTTCAATCGAGTATTTTTACTGTAAATTATCATGTTTGCTACTTCTTTATCGTTATTTCCTCTGAAAAAGGGAAAAAAACGGCTTATTAAAATTACGGACTGCACCCTCCCCTCCCCTCCCCCCCTCCCAGTAGCTGAGGTTAGGCTTAGGGCTAGTCTTCTGCAATGCTTGGGGTTTCTGTAACCTAGGGCAACGATTAGGGTTCCGGATTTGGGGTTAGGCTTAGGGTTAGAATACGATGGAAGGGTTAGGTTTTAGGGTTAGGTTTAGGGTTAGTTTTTGGGCTAATTTTAAGTGTTTTTGTCCATGTTTCTAAAGAACAAAGAGCCGTATCTCTTATTACTCTAACTCCTGCGCTACATTTAATTTCATGGAATTTTGTATCAAGCTGAGCGGTGACRTCCATCCGTTACCCGGGCCAGAAATTRCGTCGAAWGGCAWCGGGATCCCTGTCTGCATTGGAAATCGGCCTATCAAAAGTTTTAAGGCCGCTGGCCACGTGGCATCCAACTGTATTAAATTGTCAAAACACGCAGCACATGGTACGAGGCCCAACTTCCAAAAGAAATGCTTGCAAATAGCCCATATTAATCCGGAATTACTTAAGTCCAGGCAGCATTTTATCGAAACCAGAGACATGGCTTTAAAAAGTGACTTCGATATTTTATGTATCTCTGAAACTTGGTTTAAACCTGCCCCGAGGGACACTAATGCAAGTGTAGAGATTGAGGGGTATAGGGTCTATCGCCTGGATCGTCCTAAAAAAGAGGGAGGTGGTGTCTGTGCTTATATTAAATCACACCTAAAGGCGAGGATTCTGAAAGACCTAACGGGAATTACTGAATCTGGATTGCATCAACTTTATATTCAAGTGCAAAGCAAAAATCTTCGCTCTATAGTGCTTGGTGTAATATATAGACCGCCTGAGATTGGTGTTACGTGCCTTACAGAGGAGCTTATGCCAACCTACATCAAGGCTCTGGCTCTAGACAAAGACATAATCATGTGTGGTGACCTCAATTGTGACCTCCTTTCAACAAATCCTAAGGGTGAAGCCCTTCGCTCATTTATTACATCTGTGAACGCCTCTCAACTAATCGACAAACCTACGCGGGTTACACAGACCTCCCGCTCTTTGATCGACGTCATTATTGTATCCAACCCTAATATAGTTAAAACAAGTGGTGTTCTTGACAAGACTATCAGTGACCACAACTTGATACTGGTTACCTTAAACCTAAAGGTTCCAAAGTTACCACCTAGCGCTATCATGACAAGAAGTTTTAAGAAATACGACCCTCATAAGTTTGCAGAAGATGTTGCACGTATCCCATGGGATTGTGTTGAGCTTGCAGATTCAGTCAACGACAGAGTGGATGCTTTTAATGATTTGTTTATTACTTGTCTAGACAGCTATGCTCCAGTGAAAACAGTAAAGTTGAAACAGGACTGGTAACGAGCATGATTGGCTAGCATTTAAAACGTTGCATAAGGATGTCAAACAGGCTTTAAGGAAAGCAGAACAAGACTTTTTTAACAAGGAAATAGCGTTCCATTCTTGGGTCAAGACCTTTTTCCAGAACCTTTTGTGAAAGACCTTGGGATCATACTTGATTGTAACCTGTCATTCAATCAGCATATTAAAACACTTATGTGATCTCTTCTTGGCAGCCTCTGCAGGATAAATAGAGTTCGCCGCCATCTGTTCACTAAAGATACCCTCCTCACGATCCTGAATTCCCTAGTTTTTAGTAAACTATTTTACTGCTCTACTGTATGGTCTGGTACTTCAAAACAAAACATCAATAAACTACAACTTTTACAGAATTTTGCAGCTAGAATCTTGACAAACACTAGAAAATATGATCATATTTCGCCGGTTCTAAAAGAGCTAGGTTGGATATCCATCAATAACCAGTTGAATTTAAGGGATGCTTGTCAAGTTTTCAAAATAGTGAATGGACTCGCCCCACAATATCTATGTGGAAAGATAAGCAAAAGATCCGAATCACATACCTATAACATGAGATATAAAGACAATCTTAATATTCCTATGTGCAGAACTTCTACCGCGCAGCGTTCCTTTTTCTTCAGGGCGCTTAAGTTGTGGAATGACTTAAAGATATCGAAAGAACATAGTTCACTTAAGTCCTTCAAGAGATCTTTAAGATACATGATGTCATGATCCTANAGGGCGAAGTCTCGAGACTCTCATACTGGATTTGCTACTGTAATCGGCGAAAATACTAAAAAAGTAATAGCGTATGGTTCACGATCTACAATTTGCCGGACCTGTCAAGTGGCTGAACGTTTGGACCGACCACCAACGCCACATGACTGTCGCAAAAATCGCGAAGGATCAGCCAAATCCATGGAGCCAGAAATTGCGGTTGATCTGTTTAGCATCATACCAAGCCATGACGCGAAACTTGCTCACTTTACTGGGGACTCCACAACAGAAAGCCATATCAACTGTCGGGTTCCTTACAAAGTCGAAAAATGGAGCGATATCCAGCATGCTAGACGAAATTTTGGTGCAAAATTGTCCAAAATAAGGTGAGAAACTTGCGCACATATCATCAATTTCATGTTGCTAGGCTTTAATATAGTTACCAAAACAAGTACTCTAATATACCAACCCTGTTTGCATAGTTACGATTGTTACTTACAGGGTTGCTATAGAGACATTGTTTTCTATAGTTGCATTAGATATAGGTATTAGGTATTAATCAATCGCGTGGTCTAGATAGTAATATGCCTAAACATATGACATAAACATCTTTTCTCCTGAAAATAACCAAGGTAAATGTCGTCAAAACCCAAACAACAGAAATTTGTGTGTTCACAGTCTAGATGGGAAAATATAGACCGCGCGTTAGCAAATCAGAGTGCGTAGACTATTGATGCCGTATAATAATAGCTCATACAGATATATATGGCAAGGCTCAGAAAAAATGTCTGAATGGATAAATGGTATAGAGTAGCGCCAACTATTTGTATAACTGTTTCAACAATTTATCTGGCTAGGCCATCAGTCAAAGGGCTAACACCAACAATCATGCAGTATCTGTCGGCGTTTCATGTACTGCATCCATAACAATGAAAACAACCCAAAGGGCCTACAGGAGGATTTGCATCACATCGTCCCGCATGCTTATGGAGATCATCAGAAATGCAAAGAAAAATGGTGTGGTTACCTAAAAAACCCAGAAACCTACCAGCACAAAGACCTTCCAGGTGGGAAAGATCTCCGAGATGAAAACCTGAAGGCAGCAATCATTGATTGCTTATCAACTTTCACGACCCTAGAAGTAGCATCCAAACTATCACACCTTGGCAGTTCTCAAGCCAATGAAGCTTTCAACAGTGTTGTTGGAAGCAAAGCTCCCAAAATACGACACTTCAACAACGGAATGGAATATTTGAATGATGTGAGTTGTGAATGTGGCTTGAATGGAAAAACTTCAGTAAGAGACTACACGAGTGTCACTGAGCGTGAGAGAAAAGCAAGCAAGGAGAGAAAATCAACAAGGAAAGAAAAACGTAAGAGGTAATACATGCTAACTTTAGTCGTTTTCCAGACGTTTAGTGATTATATTAATTACATTAATAATTGATTAATATAGATCCCAAAGAAAAAAGGCAAAGTTGCGCAAAACTCGTGCGAAAGAACACAGTGAAGGTACAGTAATATATATTTAATGCCACTAAACTTTTGCAATCTATAAACTTACTGCTATTGTAACCAAATTTCAATCTAGGGACAACTTATGAGAGTGCTGTTGGATATCAAGTCTCCACTACACAAATAATAACGATTAAAGTCATCAATGACTTGAAAGATTGTGTTTCTGCCCGAGAATACAATGAAATCGTAGACATTGGTGTCCATGAAGACATGAAAAAGATTTAAATATGGCGAGCAGTCCCTCAACAGAGTTTGCCTACCTAGTGCTAGATTTGGAAACAACAGGATTAGAAAGAACAAGCGAAATCCTGCAGCTGTGCTGTATGTCCATTGACAACACAGATGATCTCCTTTCTATGTATATGCTTCCTACCGCTGAAATCAAACCATCAGCATCGAAGGTAACAGGGCTTACTACTG